AACTGTCAGAAATCGGGACCGCCAGATTTCCTGGTGAACCTGCCTCTGTCTGAGTCAGTGTCAATCCACCATCTTCCGCCAGTGAACTTGTCTTTGGGTTTTTGTTTGGTTTGGGGGGGGGGGGGGTGTTGTTGTTGTGTATGTGCTTTTTTTTGGAAGGGGGGAGGGGAAAGGCAAGGTGGGGGCTGGAGGGGGGGGGAGTAGGGAGAACGTGTGTGTCTGTGAGTACGTGTTGAGTGTGAGTGTGTATGTATGTGTGTGTAGGGGTCGGGGTGGGGGGGGGGGGTCCGTGTTTGCGATCTGAACCTTTGGTACCTACAAGGAGAGTGTCTCACCGAACGGTAGCTAAGATCTCAGCAGAACCGCGCGGAAGTGAGGAGTCGCGGCCAAAGGCGCCCACCGGAGCCTCCTCTCCGGGCCGGACCCCAGCCCGAGCCGCGAAAGGAGCCCCCCGCCCGGATCACAGGTAACAAAAGAAATACAAACCAGTGCACCGTCTTCCGTGGGGGAAGGGGGACAGGATGGGTAACCCTCAGTAACTTGGGCATCGGCAGCGAAACTTTATACAATTCCATGAGAAATTTTATTATTTTTTTCTAATAGAAACGAGCAGAAAGAATGGGGGGGGGGGCGGGGGGAGGAGGGTGTGAAATAGAAGTAGGAGGAAGGCGAGACCCGACGCATTCCAGCCCCTCTTCCCTTAGCTGCTCCCGGCCGGAAGGCGCACTTGATGCGGAGAGAGGCGAAGAAGGTGAAGTTCGTTTGTAGACATGGAACCTCCTTGGGGGGCCAGGGAATAAATCAGTTCTCACAGCGGCCACAGCCCCCCAATACACACACACACACACACACACACACACACACACACACACACACACCCTTTGCCAAAAGGAAAGGAAAGATTCTTGACCCCGAGCCGCTGGCATCGATCCCTGGTCTAACACACACCCAGCAGCGAGAGCGCCGGGCGAGAGCTGCTGCCGCCTCCCGGGTCCCTGGCCCCGAGGCCCGGCGTTCCCGCCTCCTAACGGACCTGCCTCCCTTTCGCCAGCGCCCGAGTCTGCGCCGCCCGTGCCGCCGCGAGCAGCCCTCGGCGGTGCCCGCCGCCCGCGCCGGCCGGCGGGGGTCTACCTGCAGCCCCAGCCCCAGCTAGCGCCCCGGCCCCCTGGACCCCCCTGCCCGAGGCGTTCGGACCCCGGGTCCTCCGCCAGTCCCGCGCGCTAAGCGCCCTTCGGGGAACTTGAGAGAGGCAAGGGTGGGGGTGGTAAGAGGAGGAAGAAGAACGAAGCTGAATAAGGGGGGGGGGGGGGACGGGTAGAGCAGGGACAGAGTAGGGGGGAGAGGGACTCCAAGCCCCGCCGCCCAAAGTCCAAACTTTGGGAGGATGAGTGAGAAGAAAGGGCCATCCCGACCGGGCTGCGGGGGCGCGGGGCGACCGGGGACCCCTGGCAGTGCCCGCGCCGCTGCGGAGCTGACAGCTTCCCCGCGCCACGAGAACGCCACAGGCTCGCAGTGGAGACAGAACCCGAAAAGACAGGAAAAAAAGGAGAGAAAACTGCTCGGCCGAACGTGGATGATCCGCCACTGAATCCAAAAGTTAAATTCCAAAAACGCAGCCCCCCCCCCCCCCAAAGAAAGTGGAAAATCAGGTCCCTCAGTGCCCCCTCCCTCTTGCAGCGGAGCAAATCCTTGAGCCAAAAAAAAGGGGGAAAGAGATAGAAAAGGGGGGCAGAGCGGAAGAGATGGTCGGGATGAGGGGATGTGTGCGAGAGCGAGCGAGAGCGAGCGAGCTAGGGGCAGAGAGGGAGAGAGGCGGAGAGGGAGAGAGAGGGAGCGAAATATCAAAGATTGTGCAAGATCAGGCTGGAAAGATAATCGATACTCGACCTAAATTTAACACAAACTACTCAATAAAAGTTAAAGAAAAAACTTACTTTCCATTTCCCCTGCAGTTCCTACTCGATCTTCGCCTCTTTTTTGTTTTGCTTTTATTTTACTTACAGCTGATCACATCCAAGTAAAACGAGAGGGTTCATTTAAAAAAAAATAAAAAAAATAAAAAAATAATCCTCGAACTTTATTGGGTGAAAATAAAAACGCTGAAGCAGAAAGTGGGGGGCATGGAGCGGTCCTCGGGGGTCCGGGAGGAGTTAAAGCATGTGCCGACCGCGGTCTCGCTGTTTGGTTGTGAAGGGGTTGGGAAAAGGAGGAAAGGAAATGAAAATCCGATATGTCTTTATTCTGCTAATTATTATCGTTTTAGCCCTGTTTAAAAAAATGGCTGATTAAGTTGAGTGCGCATGTCTTTGTGTGTCTATTCCCGATATGCACTCTGGGAATGAGAGAGGAGAGTGAGGGAGAGGGAGAGGGAGAGGGGGGGAGAGAGAGGTGTAATTAGTGAGGTGATCAACATTCCCCAGACTGCAAATGACGCGCAGCCCGGACTCGGAGCAGCCCGGGAGCCAAGCGGCTTCCAAGGCTCGGAGCGCTGCGGCGGGAGCCTAGGACGCTGCGACCGCGGACAGGGCAGGGGATGGGGGCCTCCGGGGCTCGCACCCCACGCGCCCCTGCGCGCGCGACTCCCAAACTTCATTAGACACACACACACACACACACACACACACACACACACACACACACATTCTTTCTCTCTCTCTCTCTCTCTCTCTCTCTCTCTCTCTCCTCCCTCTCTCTCTCTCAGCAAAAAGGGAGAGAAAATAAAACACAAATACCGCCAAAGCAATGCCCTTTAACCAGTTGAAAAAAAAATTTTTTTTATTTTAATGAGTCAAAGTAATTACTATCGGACCAGAGATTTGTTTACCAGGGAGCTTTAAGGAGAAATGTAAGTTAGAGTAATGAAGAGTTTTTCTCTGCTTCATTTATTCTGCTGTGAACAAGAACGCATTTTAATGGCGAAATACGGGGCCTGAGTAAATATGCAGATGTATGTAAATAAAGGGTGCCTGGCAGTGTGCACACCCCGCTTGGCCCAGCCTATTTCAAAGGAAGGATTGCACTCTGGATCCACCGGCACCTATTTAGGCTGGGATCTTTCGCTTACACACTCAGCAGAGAAAACCCAGGGCATGGAAGATGGCAGCGGTTAGTTGAGTCAAAGTAAACTTTCAAATGAGGATAAGTGATGGGTAGAGGGGTGATAGTGGGGATCTGATTCTAGCCTTTATGTAATTTTTTGAATATTTTATCAGAATTGCATAAGTTCAATGTAATAGCTTTAAGAAGACTTAGGGAAAAAAACCTTTCATCTTGCAAGTCTGTTGAATTATCTTTCTTGAAGCACATTATGATGAATTTTAAAACCCCACTACAGATCTCATTAGAATGAAATATACTTGGTATTTTCTGGTGCAAAATTTAAGGTGGCTGATTCTCATTTGAAAATCTAATTATCTCTTTCCAATATTACAGATGTGAATATGAGTGACACTTTCATTAAAAGATAATTAACTAAAACTAGGAATAGACATACTTTTAAATACCCCCTACTGAATATCTGAATATGGAATATATATATATATATATATATATATATATATATATATAT